CACCAAAATGGAAGTTCAAGCCATAAACCTCCGTTCCAACACTACACAAATTGCAGATACAAATACGGGGACGACAACCCTATAAAATAAAACTCGGTAAGAGTAAAAACTCCATTCCCTGATAATGTACACGGAGTAAAATCACACTCAGAAGCCACGCAGCCGCACTCGTCACCTGCACAACCAGCAACGGGAAGAAACCTCATTTGTTCCTTTCAGCAACACGTCTCTAGTAAACAACAACAAAGCAGGTCCGATTGCCTCTTTTACTATTTTCCAAGAAGGATAAGTTCCACTATTAAATTAAATAAAGTAGGGTCCAAAAACCTTCAATCTGTAGCTCTACACTTAGGAAGGCTTCACCCTCGCTCCAATTTGCTGCACCAAGGAAAGGCTGGCAAAATGAGCATACCCTGTTATCTGTAGCTTTTTAACCGTCTCGCATGTTCTAAACGTTAATTTTGTACATCTACAAATGTTTCTTAAACAAAGTAAAATCGAGAGAAATATTTTCAAGACAATCCAGGGTAACATAATACTCACATTCCGCGTAGCACACGTTGTTCGTGTAGATAGCCACTGGAACAAACTCCGTTCTTTCCGCTTAAGCAAGTTTCCCACTAAGTACCTACAGCAAAGAAAAGTCAGCAACATAATATTGACGCGGTTACGCCAGGCTCCGTAGTTGCCTTGCATGTTAAACGTACCAATCTCTTTTAACCACAGATATTGCTTTAAAAAAAAAAAAGAAAACAGAGAAAAGATCCCACAAGGTCTGAAGTTTGGTTAGACTACTACACTTTGGGTCCGATAGACTTCGAAGGTTTGGTTCTCTCAAATAGTTTTCTCGGTCAATTTTTTGAAGACCTACATTAGAACAATGATTAGAACCAAGACAAATTCAGCATACATGCATGCTTTTTTTGAGCTCCAACTGGCCGAGCGAGGATGAATTTTACTTTTTCCCGAGAAATTTAAAAAACCGTTGCCTAGGAGTCAAAGTACATTTATTTTGAAACAATAAACCAAAGCACTCTCATTTGCGAGTCAATGAATTCGCCCACTTTTACTGAAGTTCATTAAATTGGCTCCCAAATCAAGAACGAAGGCCTTTCTCAAATAAAATGAATATCTCCTTTAACCGAGCAATCATGTCTTACGCCCGTAGCAATAAAATGATTGAGAAAGCACACTGCCAGTTACGTAGAGAAAGGCTGCCAACTCTCCAAGAGAAAGGGTGTTTGTTATCAGAGTTACTTTTCCTTTAAACCAACGTATTCTCAAAAACACTTACTTTGAATCAAGAGTCCAAACCACAACTTTTAGAGTTCCGAAAACCCAGGGCATCAAAAAAGTTTTGCTTTGCTGCAGCAAATCCAAAGTCATTTTCTTTTGCACCAAGGCACACTTATCTTTCAAAATAATCGATAGAACACGCCTTCAGTTTCTAAAAAAATTACTTGACCTCCACTTACTTTTCCAACTGCTACAATTTCCCTGTGGGGACACCTGCAGATTTATTTCGAAAGCAAAAGATCAAGAGAAACTTTAATTAAACCAACATAGCAAAGAATAGTTACTTCCAACTAAAAGATCAAGGGACATTTTGCTAGAGAAAGAATTATCCAAGGGACATTTTGCAAAATCTCACATTGCCCCAAAAAATTGAGGAACATTTGCTCAGGGGACCAACAAAAAAAATCGTTTTCAAAAAATAAATGGACAGGCTAGCTTTCGAAAAGATTAATCGAGGCCTTTTACTTTCTGAATACGGGACTCCGAATGATATATTTTCGCAGCAACAGACCATGGGTTTCAAAACCTTCAAAACACATCTCGTATGCCTTACGTAAACTAAATATTGAAAGCAAGTTACCGTGTCAGAAGTGGTGCTGTCACAATATCCTCGAATCTTTGTCAATGCAAGTTTTTCTAAAACTTGGAACTGCGAGAGGGACCCAAGCAGATTTACATTGCCCCAAGAAATCAAAATTCATTTTCTTGTGCATCAAGTCACACATTTATCCATAAATAATGCATAAAAACAGCTTTTAGGTTTTAAAGTATAAATTGAGTCTCCTTTACTTCCCAAACCAGGAAACTTCCAAAACAGGAAACTATTCTTTTGTATATATATTTTTTTAAAAAAACTATTCTTTAACAAAAGCCAAAAAGCTTTAAAACCACGTGCCGAAAAAATATTTACTTGCAATCAAAAGATCCAAACATATTGCTTTCTATGTTCCAACCAACCAAGAGAACAGAGCAATTTTACTCTTCCCCAAAAAACAGAGAAACTTCTGCTTGAATACCGAGGGGCACACTTATCTTAAAAGAATCAGTAAATACAGTGTCGGTTTCAAAATATCGAATCGGGGCACCTCTACAGAGGAAAAACGCTGCAACTAGATTATCGATGTGGCTTCAAAATAAAGAACGGCAACCTCTTCCACGTATAATGAAGATTCCCATAACCTAGCACGAAACTTTTTCTGTCCGCGCTAAAAATAGATTGGGAGAGCATATTGCCACCACTAAGTGAAACGTCGCCTAACTCTCCAAAAGAAAGTGCGTGATCAAAGAAACTCTCACTTTCAAACCGACGCACCCAAACTTTGGCTTGAGATTTTAAGCCACATCTTTTTGAGGCTGTACATCTTGAGGGTTGCAAGCAGTTTCATTTTGCCACAAAAAATCAAGATTCACGTTCTCATGCACCGAGGCACATAAGTTTGTTTTGAAATATCGACAAAAACTTCCACTTTCAAAATGAAATATTGCCTTTCCTAGGACTAAAGGGTAGTTAATATGGAATTGAACCTCTTACATTTTGGACCCAGAATCTCAAATAAAACATTCATTGTGAATGCAAGGGCTGCACAAATAATGTTTTCTACTCAAAGAGACCCGGCCAATTTTGATCCTTCACCAACTATATTTCATAAATGAAGCTTCAAAACACACAGCAACAACCTTTAACGTTCAAAATGAAATATTGCCTGTCCTAGATTTTTGTGGCCTGAAAGGAAGTTAATATGGAATTGAAGCTCTTACATTTTGGACCGAGAATCTCAAATAGAGCATTCATTGCGAATGCACGGGCTGCAGAAAAAATGTTTTCTACTCAAGAGACCCGGCCAATAATGATCCTTCACCAACTATATTTCATAAATGAAGCTTCAAAACACATATCAGCAACCTTTAACATTCAAAATGAAATTTTGGCTTTCCTGGTATTTTGGGACTGAAAAGGTAGTTAATATGGAATTGAAGCTCTTACATTTTGGACCGAGAATCTCAAATAAAACATTCATTGTGAATGCAGGGGCTGCACAAATACTGTTTTCTACTCAAGAGACCCGGCCAACAGTGATCCTTCACCGGCTATATTTCATGAATGAAGCTTCAAAACACATATCAACACCCTTTAACTTTCAAAATGAAATATTGGCTTCCCTAGTATTTTGGGACTGAAATGTAGTTAATATGGAATTGAAGCTCTTACATTTTGGACCGAGAATCTCAGATAAAACATTCATTGTGCATGCAAGGGCTGCAGAAATAATGTTTTCTACTCAAGAGACCCGGCCCACAATGATCCTTCACCAACTATATTTCATGAATGAAGCTTCAAAACACATACCAACAACATTTCTCCAATAAACTAAATCTGAAAGTTCCCAAAACCGAGCATACATATCTTTTGTAAAATGGTTATCAAATACTAGAAAATCCAATTGCAACGTCTAAGAGAGATAGGGTGCCCATCACGATAGCTTTCACTGCCGAAGCGACACACATAAACATATTTACTAGGAATCAAAATGCTCAAGACACATTTTCTCACAGTTGGTGCTACCCGGGGGAACAGGGAACATTTTTTGTTTTCTCAAGAATGGGAAATTTTCTTGTTCATCAGGCGCATTTATTTTTTAAAAGATTTACAAAACATGCTTTCAGTTTCTGAGCAATAATTCAGGACCGGAACACCATAAAAAATTATTTTCTACCAAAGGAAGCAAGAACCTTAAAACAATGCCCAAAAATATTTACTTGCTGTTAGAAGATCCAAGCACATTCTTTTTAAGTTCCAACTACCCGAAGGACATGGGGAATTCTACTTTCTCCGAAGAAATCGTAAAATTTTCCATTAAACACGGACGCAAATTTATTTTGAAACAATAAATCAATTTACTCTCACTTTCAATAAAATAAAGTAGGGCACTTTTACCGGGACACAAAATCAATCTAATGTGGCTTCGAAATAAAGAATGACGACCTTTCTCGCATCAGATAAAAATCCCGAGAACACAGCATCCTCGTTCATATGGGACTACGAACCATAGACAGAACCAAGATTACGGGAACATGGTTCCCACATAAAAGACACCCTAGTACGAGGCAAGCATCTCATGCATCCTAGAAACCTTTCTCTTGACTACAACAAACGTCAAAAAAAAATGACCTCCAGCTTTAAGAGCAGACTAAAAGAAGTGGGGCCCGGGGGGCAAGGAAGCTGAGGACTTCCATGCTGAGATATTAAAGATGATTAAAAGGGAGCGGGGCGGAAGAGAATTACCTGAAAACCAACATAAGAACTTGTTGGTAAAGTAAACGCGCAGCATCAATTTCTAAAAAGTTGCCATATTTCCCGATCTGGCTGGCCTGCCGCCTCTGACAAATTATTGCTCAAATACAACCAAAAAGCGTGAGAGAAATATTATTTGAATCTAGCAGACTTGTAGAAATTTTTGTAATGCGCAGCAGTACCCCTTTGGTACCAACATTAAACAAATACGTAACTTTTACTTCCAAAGAGAAATATTTGAATCCAGCACCAAGTGATACGAGTGTAAATAGAGATGTCGCGTACCTCTCGAACCAGCAATCCACACCCTTACCGAGCGAGCGTTATAATATTGTCAGAATATGGTCCCTGTAAATCAAAAAACAAGAGAAGGGATCAAGACATACTGATACAACTCCCGCGAACATCAAACAAAAAATAAACTGGTAACAAACGTCGTACGGAACAACACTATTAGTTTCCAACGTGGGAACTATGTTTCTTTATGCACTTTGGATGGAATGACTTTGCAGGGACTATGGACCAGACGGAATCAAGATTTTGGGAACACGGTTCCCACATAATAGACACCCTTGTACGAGGCAAGCATCTCATGCATCCTTTAAACCTTTCTCTCAACCACAACAAAACTGCTGGACAGGCCAAAAATAATGACCTTCAGCTTTAAGATGAGACTCAAAGATGCGGGGGACAAGGAAGCTGAGGACTTCCATTCCGAGATCTTAAAGACGAATAAAAGGGAGTGAAACAAAAGAGAATTACCTGAAAACCAACATAAGAACGTGTTGGCAACTAAAAGGCGCAGCATCAATTTCTAAAAACTTGCCATATTTTCAGATCTGGCCTGCTGCTTCTAACAAATGATTGCTCAAATACAAGCAAAAAGCGCCGAGACGAACAAAGCACGTCACATTATTTTAATCCAGCCGACTTGTAAAAATTTTGTAAGTGCGCAGTGCCCCCTCGGTACCAATATTAATACACATACGTAACTTTTTAATACAGAAGAAAAACATATGAATCCAGCACCAAGTGATACGAGTGAAAATAGATATTGCAAACCTCTTGAACCAGCAATCCATACCCTTACCGAGCGACGATTACAATATTTTCAGAATATGGTCCCGGTAAATCAAAGAACAAGAAAAGGGATCAAGACATATTGATACAACTCCCATGAAAGTCACGCAATAAATTAACAATAACTGGTAATAAACATAAAATACCGAGCACTATTATCAGTTTCCAGCGAGGGAACTAGGTTTCTTTATGCACTTTGGATGGAACCGGACAGAATCAAGATTATGGGAACACGGTTCCCACATGGTACACCCCCCCTTGTACGAGGCAAGCATCTCAAGCATCCTGGAAACCTTTCTCTTGACTGCAACAGAACTGTTGGACGGGCCAAAAATAATGACCTTCAGGTTTAAGAGGAGACTAAGAGATAGGAAGCTGGGGACTTCCATTCTGAGATCTTAAAGAAGATTGAAAGGGAGCGAAACAAAAGAGAATTACCTGAAAACCAGCATAAGAACTTGTTGGTTAAAGATGACTAAACGCGCAGCACCAATTTCTAAAAACTTGCCATATTTCCAGATCTGGCTTGCTGCCTCTGACAAATTATTGCTCAAATACAACCAAAAAGCGTGAGAGAAATAAGAACGATACATTATTTGAATCTAGCAGACCCGTAAAAATGTATTGAGTGTAATTTTTTATTTTAAATTTTGAATTTAACTATTATCAAAAACATTTTTCTTTTTTGCTCATCTAACTACAAAAATATTTTTCAAATACAATTTTTTTTTATAATGCCGAAACCAAATTAATAATTAATAATTCGTTTTATTTTTTTATCTCAACTAATAAAAGCGAATCACCAAAACCAGTTGGAAATTACTCAACAGCTCGTGCAACATTTGGATCCATTGCTTTATAAGAGCCCAACAGAGTAATACTGAAACAATTACACAGCAGGCTGAGGGTAATTTAGCATTTTCAGCCGATCACACTTGGCTAAATTGAATTATAATTTTGTTAAACCCAACAACTCAATTGTGATTCAGTCGAAAATCTAAAAACCTCCACCTTATATTTGGTTTTATTTTTGCATTTACCCTTCATTTTATGACCCCTGAAGGGATGTAGTAAAATTTAAATTAAACATTTCAAAGCATCAAAATGGGCCAAGATACCGTTCAACCACATGTTCGAGGCAAGCATACCTCTTGAACCCGCACCAAGAGGTGTGAGTGTAAACAGATATTGCATACCCTCTTGAACCAGCAATCCATACCCTTACTCAACGAGGATTACAATATTGTCAGACTGTGGTCCCTGTAAATCAGGGAAAAACAAGAGGGATCAAGACACATCGATACAGCTCCCACGAACATCGCACAGTAAATCAACAATAACGGGTAATAAACGTAACACTGAGAGAGTTTTTCCTCTTTGTAAAATATTTTAGTGCTTCGGTGACAAAACTGTGAACAACACAGAAAACTTTCCGGGTGGAACTCTTTATCGTTTAGGCATACATTCCTCACAAATCCATAAGAGAAATTAACACATACATACCTCTTACAAATTATTGTCTCTTCCTTTCACCTACCCTCTTCAACTCTGTTCTTCCGTCTCTCTTCACCGATTAGAACCTAGAAGAAGCTGAGGAAAACCCTAAATCGCCACAAGAGAGAAGACTCAGGAGTAGAAGAGCCCCATTTTCTGCACTCTTCCGTTCAGAGAGAATGAAGACCGCCTCCAATCTCTAGAAGATCGGAGCGGGACCAGATCTAATGGGCAATCAAAAAGAAAACCTTAGCGGATCAGGAGACGGCAGAGGCGGAAGGAGGAAAGAGAGTCTCAGCGCTTTTATAGAGGAGCTGAGCTGCGTCTCCGTGACGCAACCTCTAAATCGCCGCAAGAGAGAAGACTCGGAAGTAGAAGAGCCCTATTTTCTGCACTCTTCCGTTCAGAGAGAATGAAGACCGCCTCCAATCTCTAGAAGATCGGAGCGGGACCAGATCTAATGGGCAATCAAAAAGAAAACCTTAGCGGATCAGGAGACGGCAGAGGCGGAAGGAGGAAAGAGAGTCTCAGCGCTTTTATAGAGGAGCTGAGCTGCGTCTCCGTGACGCAACCTCTAAATCGCCGCAAGAGAGAAGACTCGGAAGTAGAAGAGCCCCAATTTCTGCACTCTTCCGTTCAGAAAAAATGAAGACCGCCTCCAATCTCTAGAAGATCGGAGCGGGACCAGATCTAATGGGCAATCGAAAGAAAACCTTACCGGATCAGGAGACAGAAGAGGCGGAAGGGGGAAAGAGAGTCTCAGCGCTTTTATAGAGGAGCTGAGCTGCCTCTCCGCGACGCAACCTCTAAATCGCCGCAAAAGAGAAGACTCCGAAGTAGAAGAGCCCTATTTTCTGCACTCTTCTGTTCAGAGAGAATGAAGACCGCCTCCAATCTCTAGAAGATCGGAGCGGGACCAGATCTAATGGGCAATCAAAAAGAAAACCTTACCGGATCAGGAGACGGCAGAGGCGGAAGGAGGAAAGAGAGTCTCAGCGCTTTTATAGAGGAGCTGAGCTGCGTCTCCGTGACGCAACCTCTAAATCGCCACAAGAGAGAAGACTCGGAAGCAGAAGAGCCCTATTTTCTGCACTCTTCCGTTCAGAGAGAATGAAGACCGCCTCCAATCTCTAGAAGATCGGAGCGGGACCAGATCTAATGGGCAATCAGAAGAAAACCTTACCGGATCAGGAGACAGCAGAGGCGGAAGGAGGAAAGAAAGTCTCAGCACTTTTATAGAGGAGCTGAGCTGCGTCTCCGCGACGCAACCTACGTGCTTTATAAACACGCGGAACCTCGGGTAGAAAAAAGGAAAACCAGAGACCGAAGATGAAGAGCGGCAGAGAGAGAAAATTAAAAAGATAATATTTTTTTTATTGCCTTACTGAGTTTTCCATTAAAAATATTTTTATAAATAATTGTGAAAATATGTTATTATTTATACAATAATAATAACATTTATTTTTAATAAAAATTCATGTTACTTTTGTAATTTTTTATTTTAAATTTATAAAAAAATAAATTTTCAATTTAACTATTATCAAAAACATTTTATATTTTACTCACCCAACGACAAAAATATTTTTTCTAAATACAAATATTATAATAAAAAACCACAATAAAATAAACACTCTTAATTACAATACAATTTTTAATAATTCTTTTTTCTAAAAAATTTATTAAATAATACGCGTATTATTAAAAAAAATTTATATCTACAAATATATTCTATTAAAATTTTTTAAACTGTTATCTAATTTTAAATTATTTATTCTCTTAATCCTCGTAAATAATACTTACAAATTTTCCTTTCAATTTCTATTCCTTCTCTGACAAATCCACACAGACGGGTGCGTGGCGAGTTGTCTGCTCCACCAAGCACCTGTACAGCTTCACCGGTTAGGGTTCTGCCAAGAACCTCAGCAAAAAGGACAGTTCCCAGTCTCCACAACTGGCCTTCCCAGTCCTTGACAATTCTCATCTTCCCACAAACCACGAACTCCTCCTCTGCATCATTTTTCAAATCACATCTCCCTGGGGCAGAACCCCCTTTGTCAACCTGGTGCCCAACAATTCTGATCCAATATTCACACCGAGCTTATTTTCGTTGCCAGAAACCACAAAATCACCTGGTTTTGGCTGATGATGATATTCCACACCAACCTTCTCAGCTTCCTTCTCTTTACCCTCCGCATCACTTCCCCCGCCACAATCTCCGCATCACTGCCCAACAATAAGACGAATATGGAATAAAAATAGCTGCACCTGTGAAAATGACATGTAGCAAGAAAGAAAACAACAGCGAAGAATGGCCAGATATTGGGTACCTCTTCAAATAACAATCACAAACTTCACCTGCACCAAGGATATCATTTAGCCGCGCCCACAAATCAGAGAGACACGAACAAGGATCAAGCCATGGTTAAAGGACTTCCAAGAGCATCACAAAGTATAAATAATCATTTGCTAATATGCAGAATACTGACTCCTCATTTTGCAACAGAAACAGTACGAATTACCACTACATTGGATCATCATTTGAAGCCCCAAAAAAAAATTGCAAACTGTACAGGAGCCTAAGTAAACAAAACGACACGAATAGAAACAAAAACAGCTGCTTCTCCAAGGAAACAAGGGGTTTAATACCGAAGATAAAAAGAACAAGACTACTTGTGGGTAAAAAATCAAATTAACTACAAACCAACACTTAGGAAGATCTATTTATCAACAAAAGATCCCTAGTCAAGCACAAAATTTGCAAGTAATTCAACGGATCAGTCCGCTTGTTAAGAGCCAACATGGTTGCTATGAACTCCACTGGAACTGGACCACGCTAAATGACTTATTTCCCAAGTTGAATATCCACCAAAATGGAAGTTCAAGCCATAAACTTCCGTTCCAACACTACACAAATTGCAGATACAAATACGGGGACGACAACCCTATAAAATAAAACTCGGTAAGAGTAAAAACTCCATTCCCTGATAATGTACACGGAGTAAAATCACACTCAGAAGCCACGCAGCCGCACTCGTCACCTGCACAACCAGCAATGGGAAGAAACCTCATTTGTTCCTTTCAGTAACACGTCTCTAGTAAACAACAACAAAGCAGGTCCGATTGCCTCTTTTACTATTTTCCAAGAAGGATAAGTTCCACTATTAAATTAAATAAAGTAGGGTCCAAAAACCTTCAATCTGTAGCTCTACACTTAGGAAGGCTTCACCCTCGCTCCAATTTGCTGCACCAAGGAAAGGCTGGCAAAATGAGCATACCCTGTTATCTGTAGCTTTTTAACCGTCTCGCATGTTCTAAACGTTAATTTTGTACAACTACAAATGTTTCTTAAACAAAGTAAAAGCGAGAGAAATATTTTCAAGACAATCCAGGGTAACATAATACTCACATTCCGCGTAGCACACGTTGTTTGTGTAGATAGCCACTGGAACAAACTCCGTTCTTTCCGCTTAAACAAGTTTCCCACTAAGTACCTACAGCAAAGAAAAGTCAGCAACATAATATTGACGCGGTTACGCCAGGCTCCGTAGTTGCCTTGCATGTTAAACGTACCAATCTCTTTTAACCACAGATATTGCTTTAAAAAAAAAAAGGAAAACAGAGAAAAGATCCCACAAGGTCTGAAGTTTGGTTAGACTACTACACTTTGGGTCCGATAGACTTCGAAGGTTTGGTTCTCTCAAATAGTTTTCTCGGTCAATTTTTTGAAGACCTACATTAGAACAATGATTAGAACCAAGACAAATTCAGCATACATGCATGCTTTTTTTGAGCTCCAACTGGCCGAGCGACGGGTTGAATTTTACTTTTTCCCGAGAAATTTAAAAAACCGTTGCCTAGGAGTCAAAGTACATTTATTTTGAAACAATAAACCAAAGCACTCTCATTTGCGAGTCAATGAATTCGCCCACTTTTACTGAAGTTCATTAAATTGGCTCCCAAATCAAGAACGAAGGCCTTTCTCAAATAAAATGAATATCTCCTTTAACCGAGCAATCATGTCTTACGCCCGTAGCAATAAAATGATTGAGAAAGCACACTGCCAGTTACGTAGAGAAAGGCTGCCAACTCTCCAAGAGAAAGGGTGTTTGTTATCAGAGTTACTTTTCCTTTAAACCAACGTATTCTCAAAAACACTTACTTTGAATCAAGAGTCCAAACCACAACTTTTAGAGTTCCGAAAACCCAGGGCATCAAAAAAGTTTTGCTTTGCTGCAGCAAATCCAAAGTCATTTTCTTTTGCACCAAGGCACACTTATCTTTCAAAATAATCGATAGAACACGCCTTCAGTTTCTAAAAAAATTACTTGACCTCCACTTACTTTTCCAACTGCTACAATTTCCCTGTGGGGACACCTGCAGATTTATTTCGAAAGCAAAAGATCAAGAGAAACTTTAATTAAACCAACATAGCAAAGAATAGTTACTTCCAACTAAAAGATCAAGGGACATTTTGCTAGAGAAAGAATTATCCAAGGGACATTTTGCAAAATCTCACATTGCCCCAAAAAATTGAGGAACATTTGCTCAGGGGACCAACAAAAAAAATCGTTTTCAAAAAATAAATGGACAGGCTAGCTTTCGAAAAGATTAATCGAGGCCTTTTACTTTCTGAATACGGGACTCCGAATGATATATTTTCGCAGCAACAGACCATGGGTTTCAAAACCTTCAAAACACATCTCGTATGCCTTACGTAAACTAAATATTGAAAGCAAGTTACCGTGTCAGAAGTGGTGCTGTCACAATATCCTCAAATCTTTGTCAATGCAAGTTTTTCTAAAACTTGGAACTGCGAGAGAGACCCAAGCAGATTTACATTGCCCCAAGAAATCAAAATTCATTTTCTTGTGCATCAAGTCACACATTTATCCATAAATAATGCATAAAAACAGCTTTTAGGTTTTAAAGTATAAATTGAGTCTCATTTACTTCCCAAACCAGGAAACTTCCAAAACAGGAAACTATTCTTTTGTATATATATTTTTTTAAAAAAACTATTCTTTAACAAAAGCCAAAAAGCTTTAAAACCACGTGCCGAAAAAATATTTACTTGCAATCAAAAGATCCAAACATATTGCTTTCTATGTTCCAACCAACCAAGAGAACAGAGCAATTTTACTCTTCCCCAAAAAACAGAGAAACTTCTGCTTGAATACCGAGGGGCACACTTATTTTAAAAGAATCAGTAAATACAGTGTCGGTTTCAAAATATCGAATCGGGGCACCTCTACAGAGGAAAAACGCTGCAACTAGATTATCGATGTGGCTTCAAAATAAAGAACGGCAACCTCTTCCACGTATAATGACGATTCCCATAACCTAGCACGAAACTTTTTCTGTCCGCGCTAAAAATAGATTGGGAGAGCATATTGCCACCACTAAGTGAAACGTCGCCTAACTCTCCAAAAGAAAGTGCGTGATCAAAGAAACTCTCACTTTCAAACCGACGCACCCAAACTTTGGCTTGAGATTTTAAGCCACATCTTTTTGAGGCTGTACATCTTGAGGGTTGCAAGCAGTTTCATTTTGCCACAAAAAATCAAGATTCACGTTCTCATGCACCGAGGCACATAAGTTTGTTTTGAAATATCGACAAAAACTTCCACTTTCAAAATGAAATATTGCCTTTCCTAGGACTAAAGGGTAGTTAATATGGAATTGAACCTCTTACATTTTGGACCCAGAATCTCAAATAAAACATTCATTGTGAATGCAAGGGCTGCACAAATAATGTTTTCTACTCAAAGAGACCCGGCCAATTTTGATCCTTCACCAACTATATTTCATAAATGAAGCTTCAAAACACACAGCAACAACCTTTAACGTTCAAAATGAAATATTGCCTGTCCTAGATTTTTGTGGCCTGAAAGTAAGTTAATATGGAATTGAAGCTCTTACATTTTGGACCGAGAATCTCAAATAGAGCATTCATTTCGAATGCACGGGCTGCAGAAATAATGTTTTCTACTCAAGAGACCCGGCCAATAATGATCCTTCACCAACTATATTTCATAAATGAAGCTTCAAAACACACATCAGCAACCTTTAACTTTCAAAATGAAATATTGGCTTTCCTGGTATTTTGGGACTGAAAAGGTAGTTACTATGGAATTGAAGCTCTTACATTTTGGACCGAGAATCTCAAATAAAACATTCATTGTGAATGCAGGGGCTGCACAAATACTGTTTTCTAC